TGATGACAGATAAATACAGCATACTAAAGGTATCAATGGATGGGAAGCTATTGAAAGAAATTGGCTGCAAAGGATATGGTAAAGAACAATTTAATAATCCGTTTGGCATTACCATTGATGAAAATACCGGTAAAGTCTATGTTGCTGATCTTAAAAATCATCGCATTCAAGTCCTCAATCGGGACTACTCATTTTCTCATTCCTTTGGCAAAAAAGGAAAAGAACTAAAGCAGTTTATGCAGCCTAATGGCACTGCCCTTGATTCTCAAGGTAACGTATTTGTGACTGATACGTTCAATCACAGAATACAAAAGTTCTCACAATCCGGACAATACATATCCTATTTTGGCTCAGAGGGGCCTGGTCCAGGCCAGTTGAAGCTCCCAGAGAAGATAGTCATCAACAATGATTACATTTATGTCACTGAGCATCTTAATGCCCGCGTCTCTGTCTTCACAACTGAAGGTAAATTTGTTCAATGTTTCGGGAAGCAAAGCAGTGAGGGAGGACTGGTTTGGCCCCGTGGACTCACTTTTGACAAGGATGGCAGTCTTTATGTGTGTGATTTTAGATCACACTGCATCTTCAAGTACTAAAAATACACTTGCAACTGTGCATTTAGCCATTTATCTTTTCTTTTGTTTAAACTTTTGATTAGCCTATTAATGAGACTTTCATGATTTTTATTATTACTTATTATAGTCTTGTGTAATTTAATTTGCTGTTATTATTGATAAAACTTTAATAGTTAATTCATTGCCCAGCCTTTTCAGGAAGCACAATAGCACAAGCGATCACACACCTCTGCATGATCACACACAGTGGTGGGCGACACCATAATTTTTTCATTCGATACGATACTGAGTATTTGCATTCTGGTATCGATACTTTCAATACAATACTGTCAATTAACTTTAATATATTAACTAACTTTAATAATGGTTAATTAACTTTAATAGTAATTAATTAACTTTAACAATAACTGTTAAAATAGTGGAAATCTTTGGTTTATGAACAAAATCGAGTTAACATTTTTGTCTTTGAGTCGGCTTCTTTTGGCTGATATCAATTCACCAGCTTTGGAAAAAATCCTCTCAGATGGAACAGAGGTAGCTGGGATACATAAATACTTACAAGCTAGAACTGAAAGTCTCTTAAATATCTTACTGTTTTTCAACCAGGGGCGGATCTAGGGGGCCCGGGCCAGGCCCCCCAAAAATTTTTCTGATCAAGTATAAAATTAGTTTTATCTATGTAAACTACGGAAGCCGAACGCGACATTCTCGTTCACGTACGGGTTCTTGTTTATGC